TGGCACCTGCTGCTGTGCAGGGCAGCGAGGGCTGTGGGTCCTCTGGCCCGGACACAGAGGCAAACAGCCCTGGGGCCTGCTGCCCTGAGAGCCACTACTGTATGGGGCCTGGCTGGGCCTAGCCACCCGCTAAACGGGGGGAACTGCAAGGTCCACGGAGGGACCCCATTGCGGAGCTGGGTCCAGGACAGTGCCACGATTGCTCCCAGAGGGTGGGATCCGGGCCCCAAACACAAAAGCGGAGCTGTGACCAAGCTTCAGTGGCCTTGGTTGGGAAGTGGGAGTGGCATCTGCTTCCCAGACCTGGCCAACTGCGGCTGCTCTGCCCTCCCTGCTGTGAGGCCAGGTTCCTGTACCCAGGCCGGAGGCTCAGTGAGGGGCCTGAGGCTGCGTCCCCAAGGTCTACCCTGCATCAGCTGTGGCTGGGTCCAGGTGATTATCCATTCCCAGAGGCAGTACTTGGCAGGGTCATCAGCCAGGTGAGGGGGAGTGCCAGGCTCAGCGGGGAACTTGGATCAATGTGCCCCCTTTCCGAACACGGCCCTGGCCCAGCAAGGGATTGGAGCCCTGCCCCAGGCTGCAAGGCAGCAGAGAGGGCAGCGGGGGCGGCTATGGGAGCAGTGATGGTGGCAGTTGGCTCCTTGTCCCCATGTCCCCAAGGCAGCTGACTGTATCACCTCCACCCTCTCACTGCCTGGCAGGACAGGCTCCCCGCTCCTGAGCCTTTGCTGCAGCCTAGGCCTTGCTCCCTGTGGTGTCTCAGGAGGTCTCCAGCACCCCTTCAAGGTGAAGCCTGCATTGGTAGGACTGGCCCTGGGAGCAGTGGGTTCCTTCGAGTTTGACCTGGGCCACCATGCCACCTGCCATGCACACTCCCACAGGCACACACCTTGGCATGCTCATCTACACTCCCATTTGTGTGCACACACTTGCGTACACACTGTCATGCCCATGCACAGTCCCACATGCTTAGGCACACTCCCCCACACCTGTACACACTTGTGGACACACCCACATACCCCTGCACACCCTTGTACAACCCTGAACTTGCTCACACACCTGCACACAATCGTGCATTGTCTTGCACACCTGCACACACATCCTTGCACATCCATGCATGGTCTTGCACTCCCACACTTGTGCACACCCCCGTGCACACTCCACCTTCACACCTGCATGCCCAAGGACACTACTACACACTTATGCACACCACACTTGGGTGCACACCCTCACACCTGCACATGCCTGCTCATGCTCTCGTGTGCCCTCACATGCTCCTGCATGCCCGTGCTTGTTTGTGCAGGCTGCCACACACGCACACACTCCTGTGCACCTGCACATGCCCTTGCACACTCCCACACTTGCACACACACTTGTACATGACCATGCACATTCCCACACTCTACATTACTGGGACAAGGCACAGCCAGCATTCACTGGACAGGCCCTGGAAGGGGCATGTTGATGCGGGATTGGCTGGACCATCATGCCAACTGCACCTCTTCCTCTGACTCTGTGGTGGTGGTTCCTCAAGGAAAGCCAGGAGATGCCCTGATCTCAGGGCCCTGAATCAGCAAGAGTGCACTGGGAGGGACAGTGAATGGAGAGGGCTGGGTAGGGTGTGTTGGGAAGGTTGTGCTGGGAGGGGTTGCTGGAAGGGGTGAGTTGGGAGGTGGTGTGCTGGGTGGGGTTCATTAGGAGGGGTCTAGGAGAAGATGCGCTAGGAGAGGTACACTGGAAGAGCTAGGAGAGGATGTGCTGGGAGGAATGTGCTGGGAGGGGAGCATTGGGAGGGGTGTGCTGGGAGGGGTAGGGCCTATGCTTCAACACAGTCAGGCCGCAGGCCCCCGAGCTTGGACAGAGCTTCAACAGCTACTGCTTTTCTGTCTCAGACCAGAGAAATGCTCCTGAAGTGGTCCTGGGCATGGTTCTGGTCGGGTGGGTAGGAGGCTGCAGGCCTGGCTTTTTGTGCCTGTGCTGTCTCTGATTCCACAAAAGGCAGATGGCTGCACAGACCGCTGCTCCCTCCTGCTGTCTTTCCTGTCCTCTCGCCTTCCTTCCCGGGGTCTCTGTGGACTCAGGGACATGCTTGGCGATCAAGGACTCATTCATTGCCAGGGATCTAAGAGCTGGGTGCTGTGTTGCCTCATTTTGCAGAAGAGGAAATGGAAGTCTCTGGATACACAGCTGCCCCAAGAAAAGGGCCAACTACCAGCGTAGGCACCGGACTCCAGAACAGTGCCACCAGCCACTGCCATGCTTGCTCTCTGGAGTTGACTCAAGGACTGGTGGGAGGGTGCCCGTGCCCTTTTCTGGGAGGCACAGGATTTCCCATGGACTCCACAAAGCAGGCCTGGGCAGTCACAGGTCCTGGTCCCTGCTTCCTTTGGAGTGAGACTTGCCAGCACCCATAATGGCAGTGGCGGCTTGTCCAAAGCAGCAGCTGCCATGGCCCCGGCTGCAGCAAGGTGAGGGTGAAGGCTGTGGGTCCTCTGGTGCAGGCGCTGAGGCAGAGTCCTGGGGCCTTCCGCCCTGGGAGCCATTACTGTGTGGCCTGGCTGGGCTCACCCAACCGCTGGAAGGGGAACTGCAAGGTCTTTCACAGAGGGGCCCCAGTGAGGAGCTGGGCCCAAGACAGTTCCTTGACTGTCCTAGCAGCGTGGGGTCCACACCCCAAATGCAAAGGCGGAGCGGTGACAGAGCTTCAGTGGCCTGGGGTGGGAAGTGGGAGTGGCCCCCACTTCCTGGACTGGCCAGCGACGTGGCAGCTGCAGGCTTCCTGCTGTGCATCAGTTTTCTGTGCCCACGGTGAAGGCTCAGTGAGGGGCCACCCAAGGCTGCATCCCCAGGATCCATTCCACGTCAGAGTGTGGCGGCTGGCAGGGTCTGGTCCACAGTTGGTTCCCAGAGGCGCTACCGGCAGGGTCGCCAGCCAGGCTTGGGAAAGCGCCTGCCACAGCAGGGAACTTTTGGTGATATTGGCCCCTTCCTGGACACTGCCCTGGACCAGCAAGGGCTTGGAGAACTGCCCCAGGCTGCAAGGTGGCAGAGAGGGCAGCAGGGGCGGCTGTGGGAGCAACGATGGCAGCAGTGGGCCCCATGTTTTCAAGCAGCTGACTATACCACTTCTGCCCTCGCACTGCCTGGCAGGTTCCACTCCAGGCCCTGAGCTGCTACTGTAGCCTCGGCCTTGCTCCCTGCCTTGCCCCAGGGGCTCCCAAGCACCAGCCAAGGAGCAGTCGGGATTCTGAGGACCGGGTCTGGGAGGGGTGGGTTTGTGCAGGATTGGCCAGGTCCACCATGCCACCTGCACCTCGCTCACTGCCACTGCGGGAAGATGCAGAGAAGGTGCATGGGCCAGCACTGTGCACTCTGCAGTGCCAGAGACAGGTGGGAACTGCTTCCCTCCCAGTTGGCATGGCTGGAGTTCCCCAGGCATAGCTGGAGCCACCCAGGTCCGAGCGGCTTCCCAGACTTCCTGGTTGGTGCTGACTCAGATCTTGGGGAGGGGCTGAGGTCGAGTCCAGGCCCTGTTGGAGCCCCAGGCTAGGGGCAACATTGACATGCTGGCCCCTGCCACCTTGGCTTCTCCAGACTTTGGGTGACAAGTGTGGGAGGCAGGCTGAGATGGGGGTTGGGGGACCTCGACACTGGCCTGAGGGTGCCCCTTGGTGCCAGCGGCCTGGGTGCCATGGGCAGCAGTGGTGAGGCAGATATGGACAGGAAGTGTGGGGGTCCCTGATAAGACCACACCTGCAAGATGGAGGGCCTGAAGACTGGGGGCCAGGTAGGGACTGGAGTGAGGACTTGTGATGTGGCTTCCTGAAGGCCCATACCCTATGGACCAATCAGCAAGCACTTCCTCACCTCTCAGGTCCATAAAAGCTCAAAGCTTAGAGCAGGGCAGAGAACTGAGATGACTGGATGACTGGCTGCAGAGAGGAGCTACCTTCTTACAGAGAGGAGCCACCCTCTCTAGGGCCACCTCTCTGCTGAGAGCTGATAACCGGAGGAGAGGACCTGCCTACAGAGAGCAGCTGCCTCTGGGGGCCTCCTCTGAGCTGTCCTGACACTCAGTAAAGTTTATCTTCATTTTGTTCACCCTCCACTTCTCTGTGTATCTCATTCTTCATGGACACAGGACAAGAACTTGGGCAGAGGTGCCACCAGCTGCAGAGGTTTCTGGCCAAAAAACGGTACCCTAAAGATGCTATAACACCCACAAAGACAGAGAGGCCACCCTTCCCCAGGTTGGTAGACCTCAGGCTGCCCAAGTTGCATCTGACTGGGGCCTTCTTGGGTTCTGGGTGCTTCTGGAGATCAGGAAATCATAGAAGAATCCTCAGAGGAAGGGAGGTGTCAAAGATTACAGCAACATACAGATGAACATGTGCTTCTTGCTGTGCCAGGTGGGGCCAGCAGCAAGAATCTTAATGCCAAAGGCAATGTCTCTGCCTTTCCTAGAGTGCAAACCTGGCCTTTCCAACATAGGTGCATGCTACATCCAGCCACATCTGGGAGTTGGGCCTGCTCTCATGTGAAGTCTTTTAGCCCTGACACCATCGGGGCCATCTGAGTCTCTTGTGGCAGGGCCTGAGGCCTTGTGTGGTCTCTGTGGCAAAATAAGCCAATACAGATGAGAAGTGGGTAGACAGATGTATGAATGAATGCAGAGTGCCTGACCAGAGCAATGCAGAGGCTACATTGCTCACTTCTATTCATACACAATCAGTGAATGCAGGAGAGAGCCAGAGAGAGAAGGAGATGGTCCAGCCATCGTGTCTCCATGTGGAGGCAACTGTGTCCTCAGGGACGCATCTCTCTCCAAATTTAAACTTTGGCTCCCTGCCTAATTGTCAGTTGAAAGCCTGGTTCTGAGGCTGTTTGGTGCTGAGCCTCGGGAATTCTAGAACGTTCAAAGCACACTGCCCTCCTGCCCACTCTCCCCCAAGCCCCCTGCCAGCTCCCTCAGCTCATAAATCACCCCCATCAGAAATGTTGAGTTGTGAAGAGAAGTGATAGAAAAATTCTCTTAACCTTGACAGTTTTTTTGCACATCATTTGAGGTTTTCTGAACTTGTAATTCATGGGCTCTCTGCTGGCCTTGTCCTCTCCCTTTAGTGGGCATGGCGGCCACCAGCCCCATACAGGATGTTTGCAGACAGGAACACTGTCCTGCTGCTGCCATGCAGCTCCCAAGAAGCTCACCATGTGGTATCCACCTCTTATAGCCAGGAGCTAGGATGAGCCATGGTAAGAGCCACACTAACCCCTTTCTTTGAGGATCCATGAGGTGATTCAGAGCAAGAAGGCCCAGCCGTGAAGCCATGTCCATGGGCACATGCACACACATATTGGTTATAATTTATAGCATCTATGAAAAGCCAAAACAGACAGTCCATTCTTGTGATGGAAGGAGGTGAGGGAGAGGCATTCTGGAAACACCTTGGCCTGGTGCAGACACAAAGCCTGGATGAGCTCATAAATCCCCCATTCTGATGGTCATGATGTGACCCAGTGGTAACTAGAAATATGCTTGATGGTATGGGACCACTGCCAGGCACACATCAGGCATGGTGCCCACCTGCTTAGGCTGAGAGGGAGGTGGGAAAAGGAGAAAAAGGATGAGAGGATTGGGGTAAAGTGGGGGAGGGAGGGGAGAGAGAGACTGCTGATAGGAAAAACAGGCAACTCTTGGAAGCCATTTCTCTAGCTTCTCTCCTAAGCTTCATGGAGAGAGAGAGCAAGGGTAGGTTTTCTGTGGCTTGTCCCTGCAAGAAGCTGAAGGGAGCACTGTTAGCACCTGGCTATGGTTATCTTGGACATTCCTCAGGCAGTGGTGTGTGTGCTGAGGGGGAGTTGAGGGCCAGAGTCCCAGGGTCTCACAAGCCCCAAAACATGGCCCAGGATCCGGGTGCTACAAGAGAAAGCTGCAGCCCGATAGGACTCTGATGGCAGAGGAAAGACTGGGACACCTGAAGTTTATGCCTGGGGACCCTCTACCTCCAAAAACTCAGACATCCAGATGTTGTACAAACATCTCAAGGCTCAGATTATATGGGGCTTGTCCCTGGAAGATGCTGAAGGGGGCATTATGAGTATTCCCCTCAAACACTCAGACACCCAAATGCCTTAGTGCTAACAGAGTGCACAGACCATCCCTCCAAAAACCCCAGACCCCAGATGCCATGGAGCTCCAAGGGAGTGCATGGCCCTTAGCACTGAGACAAGAGCCTAGATTACAGAACACTGCCCTCCCTGCTGTTGGATTTGCTCTTAGTTCTCTCTGTCCTTTTCCTTTTCTCCTCTCCTTCCTAACTATTCTTATTTTCTTTCTTCTTTGGGCTGCAGCTCAACATGGACCAGGAGCAACCCTCTGAGAAGCATCCATGAACATTGTAGAAAACTGTGGTTGAGATGGCGAAGCAGAGACAAATTTTGGTTCTGACCATAGACAACTCCTGAGGCCCCTCAAGGTTCCCTGCAGTGGCACTTACACACTCTGATCTCATATCGGCAATAGACAGGGGCCACAAAAGCTGGGAACATGAGGCTGTTCCATACTCTGCCACAGGAGCCAGTTGCTGCCTCTTTCTGCGACCTACACACAGCATGCCCCAGGTGTGTCTTCAAACTCTGCCCCCTCACCCCACTTCCTGCAGCCTGAGGTGTTGAGGGCTGGGCTTCCTCCCTGGCATGTGGCTCCCCCCTCATGGCATGTCTGTGGTTTACCTTGGCATATGTGGGCTGCAACTTTGACTATCAGAAATAAATGGGTACATTGGTGACTTAACCTTACACTCCACGTCTACAGTGAAATGAGGGCATGAAATACAGGCTCATGCAAACACAGAAACCCCTTGGGGTGATTGACAGTAAGTGGGAAGAACAGGGTCTGTAGAAACCTTAGCACCAACAGCCCATGGGGTGGACAAAGTGGGCAGTGCTCCATCCTGGGAGGAGTATAGGCAGGTCTTGGTGGCCATCCCTCTCTCCATGTGCTTCAGAGGCTGGACTCTGAGTCACACATGCCTTCCAGCCTTGGACTAGCATAATTCTCATCTTGACAATGTGGGGGTTGTCTGGGGTCCTGCCTTATTTTCCCCTTTGGAACTAGAAAGCCTCTTTTCTGCTTTCCAGTAGCTCCAAGGCCCATGGATACATGCAGACATGATGAGCTCTGAGGAACTCAGAGACCTTGGCACCTTTTGAAGACATCTTGAAGGACCCCTGTGCCAGCCTTGCCTATACTCTAAGGTGCTCAGTTGTGTGCCTGTGGCAGCCATTTCAGGCCACTGGTGGGGGTGCCTGCTGGTTCCTCACCTGGCTGCAGCTGCTCACCCACTCTTTAGAATCTGCCTACCATAGGAAGGGTAGAAGTGGGACCCTTTCTTGAGTCTTCTGGATGAGCAAGAAGCACAGGCACCTCTGGTCCTTTGGGAAGACTTCAGTGGGTATTTTAGGACCTGTGAAGAGAAAAACCAGCCTTCACAGTGAGTAGGAGAGGGGCATCAAGCAAATAAGCTCCAGCTTGTGCCCCTCCCTTAAAGAATGACTCTGTTTCCTTTGCAGGGCTCAACCTTCCTTGTCCAGAAGGTCTCAGATGTGCATGAGTCCCACAGGAGAAACCCCAAAGTCATATAGAAGACCCTGGACTGAGCCTCGGGGCCCCTCCTCAGAGACCCAGTTCAGCTACCAGGTGGCTGCTGAGTGAGACCTGTTGGAGGAGTGCCTGGGCCTTTCTCTGGGGCATGTGGGTCCAGGGAACCTCATCTCTGCCACACATGTTGGAAGCAGCTTATGGCATAACATGTTTTATCCCCAAAAAGTTGTTCATAAACTAGATTTCTGTAATGGGGATCCCAGTTCACAGATGTGTCATTTTTAAAGGTATCCTGCATTAGGGTCAAGTGGAATGCTCTTACAAAGGGGGTGATCATGTGAGCCATTGCCTCGTTCTGCTGGCTTTGGTTTGGGGACTCCAGAGCTGGCAGAGAAGGGTCTTGTGTTGATGAGGATATGCAGGTCTCATGGGAGCAAGTCAAGGCAGCAGCAACATTGAGAAGCTGGCCCTATACCTGGGCAGTAAGTGGCTGGGTCCCCAAGATTCAGCCCTGCCACTCCTGGTCTGAAGAAGAGGTATGGGGCCAGGTGTGATAATGAGAGCACAGCTGTAAGAGGAGATTGTCCTTTGTGGCTCATAGGAGGAGACCCAGGACATAGATCAGTGACAAGAAGATAATCTGGGAAGATCTGGGCCCTGGAGTCACAGAGGGCCTCTGCCTGTCCCTGATGGTCAATGACAACCATGGTCACTGTCCTATCTTCTGGCATTCACCCTCTCAGCTGTTGTCCCTCCCAGAGTCTCTGAGTGTCCATGTCACACTCTTTCCTGGGGTCTCCTTCCTAGCACCAGATCCAGGGGCAGGTTTCACACACTCTATGCCCAGAGTGGGGCTTGTGTGGCTAACTGGAGAAGAAGCAATTTGCAAGAAGAGCCCTCCTTGCAAAGAGGGAGGAATTCAACATGTGGGAAGGGTGGTCCTATTCTGTTCACTGGGACAGAAGAATTTGGGAGCAAGAAGCTCCAACATGAGACAACAGGTGCGCTGCTTCTTTTGCTGCTCTCAGACACCCTCCATCCTGGTGAAGCCCACACATTATTTGCCAGACTTCCATATGTGGCTGGAGTAATCCTCCCCTTCAGTCACAAACCTACAGGTCCTGCCAGCCCCTGCTGAGTATAGCATCACCAGGGGAGGCTGAGCAGAGCTTTTCCTTTCTCCTGGTCCTCAGCTTCCCAGTCTCTTCTATTCCTGAGCCTTAACCCTGAACTACATTCTCCCTCCTCCAAGTTTTTTCCCAGAGCTAGTGCCCCCTCATCACTGCACAGTCAGTGAATGAGTACGTAAATACATGAATAAACAAATTTCCTTCGTTCACACGTAAGTAGTGCCATGGAAGTCTAGGAATCAAGATACAGGCAGGGTGGAATGTGGAGAAAGTATTCTAGATGGCTTTGTATTAGATACTTGAGTGTGGAAAGTGTCACCCTCAGACACCCCATACAGAGATGACTGTGGTTCTCTGGCATCATACCTCTGTGCCACTTCCTCTGCAGGACACACTCTCCCTGAAGTCCACAGAAACACCCTTGAAGGACACTGGTTCTTGGACACATGGTGGGTATTCTTGTTCAGCCTGCACCATCTCTGGCAATGCCCACAGGCGATGGTCAAGGACTACATTTCTTTCCACTGGGAAAAGGTAGCTCTGTATATTAAATCTTCAAGATCTGCTTGAGGCCCAGTCAAGTATTCTCCAGGCTGACTTGACATATGACTTATCCACACAGATGCATACACACTCTTAATACATGACAACCCTTACCATGAGGACATGACATAGGTGTGGTGTAAATATCCTGACCATTCTACCACGAGATGGTAAATGTGACTACTCACCGATGATTCTAAAATACTTGAAAATTTATTAATAACCTCTAATCCCAGGTATTTTAATTAAATATGTGAACTAACTACATGCAAGCAATCATGTCATGCATCTTATTAACTGTGACTATAGATAAATGATTCCCCAATCTGAAACTCACAATTCTCATCTGTGAAATTATTTAAGAATGCTTTTAGTGCTATTAAATGTTTTAAATGCCTTTTTTTTTTTTTTTTTTTTTTGAGAAAGAGTCTCACTCTGTTGCCCAGGCTGAAGTGCAGTGGCATGATCTTGGCTCAGTGCAACCTCCACCTCCTGGGCTCAAGCAGTTCTCCTGCTGCAGCTTCCCAAGTAGCTAGGCTTACACATGTCCACTACCATGCTGAGCTAATATTTTGTATTTTAAGTAGAGATAGGGTTTCATCATTTTGTCCGCACTTGCCTTGAACTTCTGACCTCATGATCCACCCTCCTCAGCCTCTTGGATTACAAGCATGAGCCACTGTGCCTGGCCTGAAGGTGCTTCTTATATAACAAAATACAATAAATAAATGCTGCAGGTATATTATTTATTAAAATATTATTGACCTTTTGTACAATGTTTGTCATTCTGCATGACTTATCAGACTTTGTACAGAACCTGGGTTATCACCTGCTATCTCTCTCATCTGACCACAGATCAGGTGTCATTACCAAATGTGAGGACAGATAGGTTTAGCTTCACATGCCCATAGTTTCTGGGACAGCTGTGCCGAAGGATGGTCCTAGTCTGATCCTTCCTGTAGAATGAAGTCTCCATTTCTCTCCTGTTTATTTTGGATCTTCATAGCTTTCATTATGATTATCTCTCTTATAGCTTCCTCTTGTCTCTTGTCCTCCTAAATGCACCACAGATGAATGTGTGCTATTCAGGGCAGAAAAGGCAGTTCCTAGTCTCCTGCCAGCCACCAGGCCACAGAGCAGGATGCTCAGGTCTCACTCTGTAGATTATTGGGTGACTCCTGCTGGAACACTCATGAGCACCAAAATTCTCAATGTCCTGCTTTATCTGCTGTCTTGGCTGGGGCATGCCTTGGATCCATGAAAACATAAAGTGAAGAAAGTATTCTTCAATTCCTTGTCACTCTTTTTCACTCATCACTAGTTATTAAAAATAATACCCAGCCAACACATGGACGCAGGGAGGGGATCATCACACAGTGGGGTCTGTTGAGGGGACCAAAGTCGGGGATGGATAACATGGGGAGAAATGCCATAGTCTGCACATGTACTCCAGAACCTAAAGTACAATAAAAAATACCCAGCCAAGAAAACAGAGACCCAGAGAGGCTACAGAAAGACATGGTGTACTAAAACATCTATCTTACGGACTCAGCTTCTCACAGCATGTTTTGAAACTTCCAGTTAGTTTGTATCCCAAACAGGCACAAGAGGAACCACCTCAGTCAGAGACTCCAGGAACACACATAACAAATATAAGTGCAGATTTGTTGGAGAAAGTGATAGGAGGTAGATGGTTTCCACAGGCAGAGCTGCATTAATCCACAGCAGGCACATGTTGTCTGGAAGCTCAGTGCTGAGACCCAGTCTTGGCAAAGCACTGAAGTGCCAGTCCCTGGTGGAAAACTGCAGCCCCAACAGGATAGTCTCATGTTCTTGTTTGTGTCACTTCTGGCCTTCTCCAGTGGCACTGGGCCATGAGTAAACTTGAGCAGCAGGCAGAGCGTATCAGTGTGGTTCTGGGACATGTTCCAGGTTTTTTCCAGTCCCAATTTCCATGATCTTTGGGCATTGGCTGCTAAGCCTTGATGACCAAGGATCTGCCCCCCACCATTCCGCAGCAGCATGATGCAGAAAGTGACTCTATCCACTGGGGAAAATGAGAGGAACATGAGCTGAAAGCTTTGCCTGGAAACCCAGTGCCAGGCTGGCCATAGTGAAATCCAACACAAGACAAATCCCAGTGGCCTTGACTCCAGGATGGTGCCTGTGAACAGAGCTACTAGACCTTCCACTGTGCCAGATAGAGACTCCCAGCCTTGGTGAGACATCTTATGTTTCAGCCCACATCACCACTGATCCTCTGCAGCAGCCTTGAGATACAAATAAACCTCAGTGGCAGGCAGGCTATAGCAATGTGGGCTTTAGGTTATCACCCTGAGCTGTACTGGTCTCTGGCTGTGGGCTTTGGGTGTAACCCAGCATTACAGCACCTGTGGTAACCACGGGACTGCTGTTCTCATCCTCTCCTTGCCCCAGGCAGCACAGCACAGACAGAGGCAGTGTCTGATTAAAAGAAGGTGAGTGAAGCAGGCCCATGTTGCCTTGAAGCCAGCACTGGACCCTGCACTGTGCAGAGCAGTGAAGTGCCTGATCCCAACCAGGGGACCATAGACAGAACTTCTGGGCCTGTCCCAGTCCCATGGAAAAACCTGCAAAGCCAGTGGATTGGAGAAGCCACTTCAAGCCCTCCTCTACATGCCAGAACAACACAGCAACTTTGAACATATGGCAAACCTAGGCTTAGAGCACTCTCTAATGCTGAAAAAGAAGCAGTGACCACAGGATAACACAATAACCAACCTGCTTAGAATCTCTGAAAGAATAAGCACAAACAAAGCCAGATTGCTGAAGCTGTAATAAATACCTAATCTTTTTTTGTGTACACCCAGTGAATTCATCTCTTTATTGCATATTGCTTTTTTTAAAAAAGTACAGTTTCATAACACATTTTTTTTTCTCAGTACTACCTAACAACGGTCTTGCACCTAAAGACTAAGTGGTTCCAACTAATAAGATACAAGACATATAATTAAGTTTACAAATTATGCATTTTCTTTTTGGCATTAATTTTTAAAAAATCTTTAAAATACACACCCAAGAGAGAAAAGTGGTTACTTACACCAGCATCAATCTAAAACATTTTTGGTTTTTTTTCAATAATGGCACATGGAATTACCTGCACAGTTTTCTGGGAAAGAAACCAAAAATGGAAATGGCAAAGGAGGCCCACCAGGATGGCCATATCAAAGAAGAATGATTAAAAGGAGCAAGAGGGACATGCTACACAAACTTGCTCCTTTATGTGACTTTCTCTCCACCTGTCTATTCCTTAAACTGTAAGACAAAGTCATTTGCAAAATACAGTTCCAAAATTGAGCCACACCAAATTTTTTCTGCTACAAATAGAAAAGAATATACATAGAGGTACTTTAGTTAAGGAACAGACAAAACCTTCATTATATTCCAATCTTCCTCATCTCCAAGCCTTTTTGAGCCAAGTCTCTATCTGCACCTTTAACATGGTGTTATTGCAGACCTGGGCTAACTCGGGATTGGGGGAAGACAACCTCTGCTTTGTATTTATGACTGTTTTATTTGCTAGTCACTTATTTCCATATAATGTTTAGAAAGTCACTAAATTTGCAATGAGGAAAAGATGTAACACCACAGCTCTTGACAACTCTTAGAGCACTATTTCACAGCTTTCACATAGCTCAGGTGCCTCACCATCTGTGCTAAGCATTATAGTTTATACAAATTGTTTTTAAATAGTATGATTCCTGTACAGTACACACATTGGTATTTTATTCATCCCTTAATAATGCCATTAGAACATAAGCTCTTTGGGGGCAGGGACTCTGTCTTGCTTACCATTGTAGCCTTACTATGCCTGGTATATAGCAGGTACTTAATAAATAGTTGTTAATTGAATGAAAGACTCAATTTAGTGAGTAAATAATGTTCTAGTGCAACAGGACAAACTACTCTCTCCACAGGAAACCCAACCACAACAAGATTGATAGAAAGAAAAGAGAAAACATTAGCCCCATTCCCAACTACAAATAAATAAATAAAAGCAAAAAAAAAAAAAAGTAACAGTCCTCTTTATATATCACATAATTTAAGGATATTAAGAGTTGGTAGGTTAATGATAAGCATCTATATTTTCTAATGTTTTTATTCATGTCTCCCTGAGAGCTTTATTTATTTTTTTTTTTGGACTTAAATTCTATAGGTAGCTTTACTGACACACAATTTTAAAATGACAACACATAAACGCAATCACTTCAAATATACTTAGAGGTAAATAGATCTGGGCATCTCTGCTGATGTTGACATTTTATGCATTCTTTATGTGTCCTTTAGTCCAGACCTATATTTGCAGAAAATGCAGCTTGTCCTACAAAACGGAAAATAGAAACTATAACAAAAAGGCACCCCAGTAAAAATTTTTAGTAATCTTTATCCTTTTAGAGAATTCTTCCTTTAAGTCTTGGGTGAGATATTTTTAAGGTTTACATATCTATACTGTTAGAACAAGCACACTCTGGTAATGTTGTTCTTTAACAAAAGCATGGTTTGCATTTAGTGTTTTTTCAAAAAATCTAAAGAAATTATCAAGAGCACTTGGCAGAGATAACTTGATGAAATTAAGTGAAAAAATTGATGTCCAACTTTTAAACATACAAAAAATTCTGGTTGACATTCTACATAATTCAAATTGTGTTCAAGATGTTCTCAATAAACATTTATAGACTGTCCCCACAGCAAAGTCAGATATTCTAAGCCCGTCCTATTACTAATGTGATGCATCAACATCACATTATCAAAAACGAGTTTAAATCTATATTTTTCCAACTTCAGTTCCATCAATGAAAATCATTTCAAAGGATATCAAGCTTGGAAACCATAAAATATTTTGCAAGCTTTTTTTTTCTTCTGTTTTGTCTTTGAATCTAGGGAATGTCTCTGTCAACTCTTTCAGGAGATAGTATTGTGCTTCTGAACAGTCATGGTGTTCAGAGAAAGAAAATGAGCCACATTCAGTGTGAATGCATACATGAAATGTTTCAGAGCACATATGTTAACATATCTTTTTAACCATACATATAGGTCTTTTAATATATACACCCAAACATTTACATCCACATACATTCACGCATTCACTCACAGAAGAAGGGGAAAATTGCCACTGTTTGGATTGCAAGGCAGTGTAATGAAACGTTCTAGTCACTTTAGAGGGCTGCTAATGAGCTTTCTAAATAAAGTATTCATGGAAAATTAGAAATTACGTTTTGTGACTGGTCTCTTTCTGCTGCTGTCAGCCATCTGGTTGGTAATGCATTTGTGATTCTGTTTCAATTTAGAAAGGTCTTTGTCAAACACTTCTCTTGAGCATAAAGCTGAAACAAGGTCATCAAACTCTCCACTTTCTTCACTATTCTCTTCAGCTTTTCTCATTTTACGTTCCCTTTCACGTTGTTTTTGAACTGAGCTTCCATGTGAGCTCGATGCTCTTCCTCCTTCCTCTTTCTCATATTTTCGTTTTCTTGTTTGGCTTCTGACACAGCTTGAAGAAATTGATCAAATATGCCAAAGAACTCATCTGGTTGTATTTTGCCAGCCTCTTCCCCAAAGTGCTTCACTGCTTTAGTAAACAGGTCTTTAGCTTCTGCTAGAAGATCTTCAACATCAGAGAAGCTGAAGCTAGCTACTGTGATGAAATGGCTGACAACAGACACAAACTTATCTCCGGGTTGTGGGGCGCTGAGACTTCTGATATTCCAGCTCTGTCTCTACTGCTTTCAAGTCCAGCTCAGTCATGTTTACTTTCACAGCTTGAGGAATATCTCGCAATTCTTCATTTAGATTGAAGACACTGGGGTACTTATTTTACACAATAGTGATGAGATCGTGCAAAAGGATAATGTTCTTGTCAATGCTGGATTTTGTGTCAGCAATTTTGTTTAGGCTAGATATCTTGAATCCATAGGCATTCCCTCTTTGTCCTTTATTCATATAGTTTCCGAATGCCAAAACCACCTCCAGCAACTGCTTGAGGGCATTGCTCCTAAACGCCTGTTCTAAGCCAGAACGAATTGCTTCTACTTTAGGTTTCACTTCTGCCACATGCTCTGCAAACTTCTTTTTGAAGTACAGCAATTCAATCTTTGCTGATAGTGATTAATTTGGCTCATCTCAAAAAGCAACCCATTAGCCTTGGCCATCCGATCCAGTTCATGTTTATGTTCCTCCATCAGGTCAATGTCACTTTTTTCAGGAACGAATTTCAAGAGCTGCTCCAACATGTCCTTGGGAAGATTTTCCTG